CATCTTCAAATGGAAACGGTTAAAGTTATCTTTACGAATCATAAAATTTCCTTTAAAATGGCATTCAATCGTTATACATTTTTGCACTCTCGATAGTTTCTCATAGTAGGAACGATATAACGCACTCATTTTAATTTTTTAGATAGGTGCCAATTCTATCCAGAAATATGTATGTATGGGTTAAATAAAACTTTATTTTAACACCTTTTGTTTAAAACTTATTTTTTACTTTACCTTCCATTTGATACCCATATTGTGGTAAATAAGCTTAAATTTGTAATAACGGTCCTTGTATTTTGTAGAAAGGTTGCAACCCCGTACAAAAATGTTTTCAAATCTCTTTAAACGCTTTTAGTTTTGATGAAGAAATTTAATTATTTCATTGAGCCTTTAAATAATTTTAAATTTTACAATATCAAAACTTTTTGGCCACATATTCACAGAAATAATCGTGTAGAATGAAAAAATATATATAAACACATCCGTTGAGCTGTTCGTGTGTGATGTGTTTACCCCACGTCTCCATTTTCTACTAAATGTGTCTTAACATCTGTCAAATTTCTGTTTTAACTTTGTCCCGCTTTCCCATGTGGGCAACTTGCTGTCTTAACATATCACTTTCAAAATGGCATGAAGCCATTCAGATCGATCTGTACCCAATGTAGGTGGCGCGGTAAAATGAAAACTGAGTTGTCAAACTACCAAATGACAGCTGATGTTAAGACAGCGATGGTAAGAAGTTCGGCAAGACAGATATGGTTTAACAGTGGAAATTTGCGGTCTCCACCTAACATTTCTGTCTTAACACAGCTTTTTTTTATCAGAATCTGTAGAAGGTGGAGACGTGAAGTTATGAAAACATAGCATAACTAATTGTTGTATATAACTGATAGGATTATCGGTTATCAAAACATACTTAGTAAAATTTTCAAATTAACTAAGCATCATAGTGTTATTAAGTTTGTTCCACACAAACCCGCGGGTGACCAAAACAGCCCAGGAAGCGCTCCTCATGCTAGAAAAATGGATCGTAAATGTGTGGAACGAAGCTAAACAGTCTTATTCGATCAAAAAATATTTGTGTTTAACCATTTTCAGGTCTATTCTGCACGTTACCAAAGATTTTGTAACTGGAAAATTTTATTACCAAAAAATGTTACCAGTTCTTGTCACCGCAATTCTAGATACGTAGGTAATGCAGTTAAAATATTCAGCAACAACAAAATTTACCGGATACAAGAGTACACAGAATGCGAAAAGGGTTTACAAATTTACAGGAACTTTAGTTACAAACTTTTTATTACCGGCACAGAATAGCACTTCTGTTTATAGCACTTTTACGAAAAAATGTATTTCCGCCATGTAAAATAGATGCATGACAAACTTCAAATCCCCTGCGGCACGGGTAAATATTAATCGATTTCCAAATAAAAAAACTACATGTCTCCTTATTTTTGATTTTGTTCAATTCTATGGGTGGCAGCAGGGAAAATCAAAAGAGTTGATTTTCGTAAGTATATTTGGACCACCCTAATGTACATACTATATATACATACATCCATACATATGTTTTCTCCACTTCCTGCCAAAAATTTACCACCGGTCTGCTTTATCGACTTTTTGTCGGTTGCCTGTTATAAGCATGCAATGACCAAAGTTTTCAGGCCTTCTGATTCAGCTTCCCTTAGAAAGAATAAATTTATATGAAATAATAATAGTGGTACATATTCACCAGATATTCTGATCAATTTAAGCGCTCTATTACATGAACTCCCCATACTCTATTCCCGTTTACACAAGCGACAGATTTGCACTGGCTTCATTTTATCAAGATTATGCAGTGAAATCGTTGGAGAAATTTCTAAGAAATGTGTAAAGAAGTTTCCTAACAAATTTTGACAGTTGATTTTCAAAGTTTACGCAATCATAAATTTATAGGGTTTATAAAGCATTTAAAAGGTTTGCTGAATACCCTTAATGAAACAGTTTGCATTTAACTTTGAAGTAGACATTTTGATTTTTTTTCATTTGACTTTCGATTTCCTTGGAAGTACATACATATGTATGTATGTATGTGTGTCCTGGAATTTTTTAATCAATATTTTACTCGGGATTTTGCAAAAATTTATAATATTCTTATTTTTCGTCTGAAAATTATTGTAAATATCAATTTTGAGTGCATAATCTTCAGTAGTTACTAAAATATCGCAGTTTTCGTATTTCTGGAAATTACCGTTATATGGGAAGTGGGCGTGGTTACAGTCCGATTTCGCCCATTTTCAATACCAACCAACCTTGGATTAACAGAAACTACATACCAAATTTTGTTGAGATATCTCAATTTTTGCTCGAGTTATCGTGTACACGGACGGACGGACAGACGGACTGACGGACATGGCTTAATCGATTTCTCTATTCATTCTGAGCATTTATGTATACATTTGTCTATATCTATCTCGATTCGTTTTGGCTGTTACAAACAACCGTTATGTGAACAAAATTAATATACCCTTGTGCACAAGTGCGCTCGGGTATAAAAAAATGTATATACATACATATTTATATTCTACCACATCTGATTTTAGTGGGGATTTTATTCACGAAATTAATAAAAAGTATTGGCAACCAAGTGATTGAGATATATATTTTAGAAAACGCTTATAAAAATTCTTGAAACCGAAGGAAAAAACCAGCTGACGCCAGAACCAGGGTTGCCAGATTTTCCATATAACTTCTCCCTAAAAAACCCTAAATATATGTAATTTGTAGGTGTCCAAGGTTGCTAAATACTAGAAACTCGGGTATGTTGGGCGTTAATCAATTAATTTTTAAATCAACTTGTTAATTGATTAAAAAAGTCATTGCAATTAAAGTTTAAATTGCACGTTGCAATTCAATTATTTACTTTTTTAATTGTTTCGTAGAATACTTTTTTAATCGTTCCATGAAACAATTCAAAATAACAATTAAACGAGAACAATGATTAAAAGATTAGAAAATTCTACGTACGTAAAAAGAGAAACCTTTATTAGTTTGTTATAAGAAATTATAACCTGTTTATTTATCTTAGAACAAAAAATGGCCCAGAATAATCCTTAATCATGGGAGAAATACCCTTAACTGGCAACACTGCCTACAACTTTTAAATATTTATTAGATCTAATGTCTGCTTTACTATCAGTCCGAATGAGAATAGCTTTCAACATATTTCTTTAAATTGTCTTTTAATAGTTTTATTAGACATAGCTACTTCAAACTTACACTTAAATATACAAAAATTTACCGAATTCAGACAAAAAGTATTTTCTAAATCAAAATAAAGTGCAAAAGCGCACGATTAGTTAGTACGAATTATATTTTTTTGCTTTTCAGAGTAATTAATTCAAAAATATATGTATGCACATACATTCATAGTTTACTAAATTAAATAATAAAACTTGCTTACTGATAACAGCTTAGTATGTTTATATACATATGTATTTATGTATGTATGTTGTTAGCACGAGGAATAAAATACGACTCTACTGAGAGAATAAAAAAACAAAATTAATAGCACAATAAATAGGGCCAATGCTCCAAGAATTTTAAGAACCCATTTGCGTCATTCGAATGAATTGGCTTTAAAGAAGCCAAAAATATTCAGATTTTGAAATTCAAGTTCGCCATCAGGCAGCCAACAACCAATCGCACGAAATTTTGCACACTTATTTGTTTTTACCCCGGGTAGGTTATAATAGGTATGGCTTTGTTTGCAAATATGGTGTCAATTTTTCGAAGGGGCGTGGCACCGCCCATAGGCCTGCAAATTTTTAATCAGCTATAACTTCGGAACCATAAGTCACACGACTCCTTTAATTCCTTTTGATATTCTTTTCGAATTTAAAAGACCTCAGTTTCCAGTTCGCTTAGCTTTTACAAAGACAATAAACAAGAATGCTTTAAAGTAAAACTCGAAACTTTACCGAAAATAAAATGTATGATATTGTATTGGAAAATGCATTTTTGTTAATAGATAGTTTGAAGTATGCTGTGAAATCATATTAGAGTTATTATTCGTAAGAAATTAGATAGTATTTCTTTTACTATATAGTTTATTGGAGATATTTTAACTTAAATAAAAAACCTGCAGTGCCAAAAAATTATTATTGCATTTCATTCCATAACATCACGGCTATAGTAAAATTAGAGCAGAAAGAGAATTTGATAATTTAGCCTAATCAAAGGTCATACTCTTATTATTATCCTTTCCTTCTGTCAATCCAATACAACGTTTTACAAAGAAGCGAAACATATTTAAGTCAAGATTAATATGGAGTATCGATGGCAGTTGAGTAAAGGTGGATTTAATTACATATCAAAGACTCATTTTTGTAAACCCAGTTGGAAAATAGAATAGCAGCTTAAATGGTAATACATGTTTCAAGTGGGAGAGCGTAAATCTCCGCGGGCGCTGGGTTTGGGTCCCGCCACGTTAAAACCCTGCCCAATGAAAGAAAAAACGCACATGCCTCGGTTGATAGCCCCTTCTTTTGATGACGATCACGGCACCTGGAATATCCGATATAAGAATCATACTTGGCGATTTCAATGCCAAGGTGGGCAACGAAAGGATCTTTGGCGTCACTCTCGGAAAATTCAGCCTCCACGATAACGGGCTGAGGCTGATCGACTTCGCCGGGGCCCGAAACTTGGTAGTATGTAGTACTGGGTTCTAGCATAAAAAGATCCATCAAGCTACATGGTGTCGAGCATGTTGTGACAGACGGAAGGCACACTTCCAGTGTTTTAGATGTACATACGTACACTTCGAGGGCCAAACATCGACTCGCACCACTATATTGATGCAGCCAATATACGCATCCACCTCGGTGCAGAAAAAATGTGCGCCCAATAATGCAGGGAAAGCTCTACGGCGAAAAGCTGCACTCAAAACAGACGGCCAATTGATTCGCCACTCGACTCTCACACCTGCTGTGAGAGAGCACTATTCAACAAAGCGACATACGCGAGCAGTGGAACCACATTTCCCACTCATTACTGGTACGATAAGGAGTGTCAAGAAGCTGCAGATAAAAAAGGTGCCGCCTACAGGACCACGCTGCGACCCAGCGCAACCCGAGTCATGTGGAACCGTTATAGGGACTGAACAGGGAAGCTACACGTATTTACCGCAATATAAAGAGAGAGGTCGAAATACGTGAGTGCGAAGAGCTCGAAATGATGGCCGACAGAAAAATCATACGAAATTTTTAGCAGAGAGTTGAGCGACTTACGGAAGGTTTCAAGACTGCTGTAGGAACAACCATGGCGACCTAGTGACCGATGTCCAGAACGTACATACTCAAATTATGAAGGGGACACTTTTCGACCCTTTTGAATGGCAGTAGCACTGAAAGAAGTGGAGTCGATATCCCAGCGCCTCACTATGACAAGGTACGAATAGCGAGTATACTGATGAAAAGTAGTAAAGCTGCTAGAGCTCGGCTTCGGCTGTCAGCCGAGCTATTCAATTATGATGGCAAGGAGCTAATAAGATGCATGCCCGTCGACTGGAATTCAAGTGCGCTCTGCCCGATCCACAAGAAAGGCGACGCCGCCATGCGTGCCAACTATTTTATCGAGCGTGTTGTGTGAAAGACTGAAGCCCTCCGTCAACCAACTGATTACGCCTTACCAGTGTGGCTTCAGATCAGAATAGAGGGGACCTCTCCGAGCCGTTTGATACCAGTCGAGGTTTCAGACAAGGTGACTCCCTTTCGTGGGATTTCTTTAATCTGACGTTGGAGAAGATAATAAGAGTCGCAGAACTGAACCGCTCGGGCACAAAACTTTACAAGAGCGTACAATTGCTGGCGTATGCCGACGACATCGACATTATTGTTACACATAAGGGCTACGTCTTAACCCTAGAATACTAACCTTATTTTTTATTCCTTTAATACTAACGTTCGCCTGTGAGGCAACTTTTTAAAAAAAAGTACAAATTCTGTCTTTCTAAAAACTTAAATTTGTTTAAAAAATGGGCTTAACATATTTCATATGTTTTTAAAGTAAAAAAATAAAATAATTAAATGATTTTTTTTAATATTAATAAAAATAATTCGTATTGAAAGTAACACATATTTTATAATCTTTTTGAAAGTGGTCATTTTAAAAAATTAAAAAAAAAAACACTTAAAAGCGAACGCACTCAAACAATCCATAAATTATCTTAAAGGTATTCGTATTTACTTTCACACTTAAAAGGAATTAGTTGTTGATCTTTTCTATTGTGACCTGCAACTTAAAAATGAAATCGACTTTTTTGTATCACATTAGGCCTTATGAATAAAAACTAAGCAATGTTTTTTTCTTAAAATTTCAGATCCTTTACGTAAAGTTATTTGAATAAATCAAGCAAAAGGTTTCAAATCTTAAGAAAAAGCAACTGCTTAATTTTTATTCATAAGTCGCATTCACTGAAATCTTCTTCCAAATTGTTCTCACTATCGGTTCCATTCAACGATATTTCTTCCAACCATTTTAGAACTTGTTCTTCATAGGAACCCCTCTCGAAAAGTAAAAAAAAAAAAATTAAGTTCCAAACAGAAAATAGCCAACAAACATGTTAAAAACTGAAATAAGTACAGCAAACAAAATTACCTTTACTACTAACGTTCGCCTGTCAGGCGTCAAGAGGGCGTTGAACTCAGTCGCGAAAGGCCACTGGACAATGTGCGTTTGCTAACAGCCTCGGGTTAAAGTCTCACACTGTCAGGGTTAGGCTTTCGGTGCTTCCTCCTAGTGGAATAAACATTACTGCGCAATGTTAACTGTTCAAATTGACGAACAGTTTTATATCAACTTTTGTGAAGATCTGTTTATGTGTTTTTGTACAACATATCTCTGTTGGTAACAATAATTTTAAGCTATAATAAAAACTTTTTAGTAAGTTATTGGTTTTAAATTTTTTTTTTTTTTTTCTTGACTATGTATTCTTATGAAGCGTTTACTATCGTTTATATATAGCTTTCCATATTGTGACAAAACAAAGGGATTTCTAAATGTTAAAACCGAAAATATGCCAATTTCGTAATATTTCGCAAGCTTTAGAATTGGAAAAAAATAAATAAAATAATTGTTGTTAGCTGACAAAGACAAATTTGATTTTTAGTACAATATAATTATAAAACCTTTATTCCAATTGACTTGCGTGTTTGTTACAAATTATATTAATTAGGCTGACAAATAACATTGACGACGACGACGAAGACTCTTCCTTGACAATGAAGATGACGACGGCGACTACGTTGGTGGACGATGACAATATTTTGTAGAAAATTTAATAGTGTTGATGGACGATACTGCGGAATAATGTTGATGGACGATAAATACGAAGACGGCGACACTTTACATTATTACAACGCGAATTTAAATGTATGTACGCGTACTTTTCGGTGTTTTTTGTTTCAAATTGGTGCCTTTTGCACTCGCTGCTTGCTCGTCAAATTGGAAGTAGTTTTCTGCAAAACGTTGAACGGTATTTTATATGAATGGATGTTTGTCGATTTCGTTTTCTCCTTCCCATCCTTCGAAATCGAAAAACCACTGACTACGACAGGGTTGCACTCTAGCGATCAGTGTTGTGCAACGACATCCCACTCCCCGGTGAATCCTTAGGGGGATTCACTAATATGGAGAGCGGCTAGCTTACTTGCTGGTCGACGTATAACACCAGAAGCCGTACGAACTGCTGCACTTCTTACTTGCGTGGAGTTAAGGCAGCCCAACAGAAAGTGGTTTGGCGTCAATGGTTCTTCGTCCTGCGGTGTTACGGCTAACTCAGTCAGCGGGCGGCTGTTGATGTTTTCCGCTTCGAGTAAGACGCTGCGGAATGTCTCCAATCGCGGTGCTTCTTCACGCAACACCCTTTGCAACAGTCGTTTGGTGCATTGCACAAGGCGTTCCCAGCAGCCTCCTGCTGACGGATTCGCCGGACAGTTGAAGAGCCATTCAATGTTGCGTCGTGCCATCTCACCCTGTATTGCGTTGAAATCAAACAAGCGTTCTTCAGCCTTAAGCTCCTTTTGGGCGCCCACAAAATTAGTCCCATTATCGCTTCGAATTCTCACGGGTACTCCTCTACGGTTGACGAAATTGCGCAAACACAAGATGAATGAGTCAGTCGAGAGGTCTGCAGCGATTTCTAAGTGCACGGCCCTGGTCGTTAAGCACGTAAACAATCCAACCCAACGCTTTTCTCTTCTTCGGCCGATAGTCACAAAAAAGGGTCCGCAATAATCGACTCCGGCGTAGGAGAACGGGCGCACATGCGGTGTGAGACGGTCTATCGGCAACTGACCCATAAGCGGAACTGCTGGCTTTGCGTTGGTATGAATGCACGTAGAACACTCCCTCTTGACTGACTTGAGCAGAGCACGCGCACGAGGCACCCAAAATCTTTGTCGCATTTCGTTGATTGTAAGACTGTCGTTCTGGTGGTGAAGCTGGCAGTGATATTTCTTCGCAACGAGACGTGTCACGTAGTGGTTCTGTGGTAGAATAACCGGGCGTCTGGCTGTTATCGGCAGGCAATAAGCAGCATCAATTCTTCCGTTTACCTTCAGCAAACCATCGACGTCTATAAAAGGCGTTAGCTGATATAGAGAGCTCGACTTCGAGAGACAACCCTTGTGCTTAATGGCTTGGATTTCATCTGCAAATGACTCGAACTGAACGCGACGAATTATTTTATTTTCAGCGGCTGCAAGTTCATCAGACCTCAACTCTCCACTTCGGCGATGATGTGACTTCGCGTTATGACAAAAACGCAGCATCCAGGCAACGACCCTTATAATCTTAAAAAATGACGAAAAATTAGAAAAATTGATTGGATACTCCCCTGTATTCAGGATGATGACTCGCTTCGCAACTTCCTCTGGTGCACATTCATTTGACGTCAGTTCTGTGATTTCCTGTGGCCAGCTTGATGCGTCTTCACGAAGGAACTCTGGTCCTGTAAACCACCTTGATGTCATGCTATAGTCAAATGACGTATGACGATGTTGCTTCGTCTGCGACATTTAATGATGTTGGAATCCAGCGCCATTGATTTACGGATGTCGTGCTTAATATTTCGGTTACTCGAAATGCCACAAACTGTTTGTAGCTCCTGCTTGTGCAGCGAATCCACAGTACGACGGTTTTGGAATCGCTCCAAAACGTCGTGCTATTCACTTTAAAGTCGTGGCAGCGCTCGAGGGACTCCCTCAGGCGGCAACCCAAAACTGCAGCTTGTAACTCAAGGCGCGGTATTGTCAAACCTTTTAGTGGCGCACACCTTGTCTTGGCGCATACCATAACAACATCAACTTTATCGTGTTTTTT